GAAGGCAGAGTTGCGGTAGCAACATTCATAGTATAAATCGTGTTTTAGTTCAACGTTTAACATATTTGTAAGATTTACTGACAGCCTATCGAATCCCAGTGTGACAATTTTGATTATTGAAATGAAGACAAAAAATTACATCTTGCATTTAAACATGGTCGTTATATGCTGAAATCTTAAAAATATCATTACGACTTTGTCTCTACATCAATAATTAACCAATCAAATATCAAAAGAAAAATAGCAACATATCAAACTAATCTCATTATAACAATATCTTTATCCCTATGAGATGTCATATTTGTTTTTAGTCGCAACAAAATTTAAAGCTTTATTCGACTCTTTTTAAGAATATAAGTTTTTAAAGCGATATTAAACTTAATTCGGTGTTGAACTTAATCGAGGCTAGGAAGCAAATTTAACTATTTATCTACTAGGCGTGCATGGCGGCAAAATGCCATTAAAGGTGATATCCACCTTTCTTAAGGATTCCTTAGTAGGTACGTGATTACGTTTTTATTTCTTTTTATAACTGCCTCTTTCAATACAAGTAACTTGTAATTGAGAAATCGTAATTATAAAACATGCAATAATAATGGCATTTTAACAGATGTATTTTCTTATACGATTACACAACATTAGTATTATTAACTGCTCGATTATTCTTAACATATCATGTTATTGCCTTGTTAATGCATTAAACCTGTTAAAATGGGAAAATAAACTACAGAAGCGGTAAAAACTCCTTTGGAATGTACACAGCAAAAAAGCATGTAACAGAATTTTATATTTCATTATAATATTCCATTAAAATTTCTGAGTGTATTAAAATAAAATGGGCTTTTGTTTAAATGGTAAAGTGGTAAACGCGTTGGCGGTTCACTAGATGTGATAACCACCACATGTAATAACAGAAGTGATAACCGCCGGTCATGGACGTTTTGCAACACCCGTAGAGTTGCAGATGCGTTGCCACCTTTTAATAAAGTGGGCCCTGGCTACCTCACTCACCAGACGAAACGCAGATGTGAAATACTTCTTTTTCTCACTGGTCTTCTCTGAGGTCGTGGTACTAACCCGGACGGACCTGCCCATTCGTACAACGGTGAACACTGTTCCGTAGTCCTACCACAGCTTTAATGACATTTTTATCATTTGAATCGAGAGCTTTAGTAACATATACGTTAAACCATATGTATGTAAATACGATTAGTAAACGTACTTCCTGTTTTTAATACTGTAATTGATGTTTTTGTTCTCTAATATTTGTTTAAATAAACCTTTATTATTATTATTATTTTATGCAAAAACTGGCCAGCATATTTAGTTATAATATAATTTGTAGTTGAGTAGTGATTTATTTTTTAACTACCACCTAACAATTTAGTTCAGTAATAGCCTGTTCACTCTTGACTTGAAGCCCGGGTATTAGTCTGTGCCTTGTCATAAGTTATTAAAACAATCATGTAGAAATATTCTGTAAAAGTATTGTTGTTCTAAATCGTTAAATTCTTTCTATTTCTTATCAAATAAAAAAAAAGTATACAATAATATTCCCATTTATCAATTATTTAAATTATTAGTCGTCTAGTACCAATACATAATTTTTCTATTATGTATATTAATAGTGAGTTTACCGTAATGTTTTAGAACTTGAGTTTACTTTAGGGAATATACTTTATTACACACTGAGAGAGAACTTAATAATAAGATAATGTGGGCAAGAAATAGTTTTAATGCAAAAAGCATTAAAGCTATTTATTCCAGACAATAATTAATTTCTTTGGATTATATTTTGACTACTTACATAATTCTAAATTAATTAAAAAGGTTATCTCATCACTACCAAAACAAGCATTTGATGTTACAAAGACTAAAGGAAGACCTACTTATTATAAAATAAGTACATAAGTGCTTAAGACTTTTGTCTTTAAAGCCTTTTATGTCTCAACGATAATTGTCGTACAAATTTACCAATACAATGAGATATACCGGTTCTGATACCCGCCTACAAATCCATTAGCGTATAAATGAATTCAACCGGTATAACACTAATATAAGATAGCAAGCAAATCAAGAGCTCCCTTTTCACTTTACATAGGATTAAATCAATATACAAAGAGGCGGTGGCGGTAAAACGTACGGGTCAAATAACATTGGACGTTATTGGCTTTACCTCGTTATTGGCTAAAGGCTTTTCGTTCTTAGTGTCCTCCGCAGACTATGGAACCGGAACGATTATATCGATGAAATATCGATGATATCTCAAGCGAACAAACGCGTACTGATAAATTAAGCATTGGTATTTAAAGCAACATTGTAACTTCGGCCCGCATACGAAGGAATTCAGCCGCAATGAAATCAACAGTTTAGTGTTATTGGAGATCCGATGATGTTGGCGATGCTCATTAACATTTAAATTTCAGTTACCATTATGTACCGAGTTGAATGTTCATTGGTCTCGTGGATTTTGATTATATTGTTATTAGATAGGACGTTTGCAGTTGACCAACGGGTTGTTGCAGACATTTTGACAGCGACATCTTTTGACAATGTTGAGTAGTTTATTTCCATTACGTCCATTAGCTTGATAGTTAGTAGGTTCATTTTAATACTGCATAAACAAACAGTACGGACATTCTTTTACATTTATAAATTGATTCAAGGTAAAATATGCTATAAATAGGAGTTGTTCACTCTTCGTTGGTTATTACTTCACTACATAGAATAAAACAAAGTCCCTATATATACTTAAATCTTTAAAACTAGGCAACGGATTTTAAAGCGGCATTCTTTAATAAGTGATTCAAGAGAAAGGTTTATATGAATAGGTAATCATGCATTATATAGAAGAGAAACAATGGTAATTTTGGAGGTTTCCAATGCGATGTCGAAAACTAACATTCAGTATTGCACCCGTGCGAAGCCGGGGCGGGTCGCTAGTTGTCTATACACAATTCCCAGAGGCGTATTCACTTTAAAATAAATATGTGGAAAGTGAGATATTTTAAATAAAGCGACGCCTGCACGTATTGTCCGTGTCCACGAGGAGCCGGGTCGTTTATTTTCCTTAAACGCTACATAAAAGGCTGAAAGGCATCGCGAGATTATAGTAAAATATGGTATGATGACCGTTGAGCCCTGACGATTTGATAGCCTTTACACAGTTTTTATACCGCCGTTATAGCCGGAGACGCAAAGCAACTGTGTAAGTGCTTCATATTTTTCGAGCGTTTAAAAAATACCATTACCGTCCCGCGGTCGAAATTCGACCGGTTACGTTCGTAAAGTAAGGGGAATTATCTTTTCGTGCCCATTTACTTGGGCAGAGAGGGCAGAGGGATCTTACTTCATACAGCCGTGAGCTTGATTCAAATGCTTTCATTTGATTGGTTAAAAATTTTAACACTGAAAAATCTTTTTTCCGCCTTAAAATAAGCCTTCATTATGATACAAGATTCTAATACTGATGCTAAATAAGTGGTGTATTAAGGTAACCAACGAATATTATATTTTTTTACTTTACCTTTTTTCAATGAATATTCAGTGTAAATAGCAAAAACGATTAATGCTTTTAAATAAGCAGCATTAGGTATATACATTAAAAACTCATAATGTCTCATTCATAGTTGTTTGTTACTACATGTAGATCTAAGTTATAATATGGTTGTATACGAAATTTATATAACTTAAAAAACATCTAAGTGAAATAAACTATAAATAATAATATATAAACTTTAAGTATGCACATACAAGTTTATTAATATAACACTCCTGGGCAAAGATCTCCCACTGCGGATGGTGGACTTGGCAAGGCAAGACCAATAAGTAACAACCACATAAAACTGTTAAATTATATATAATTGCAATAAGATTGCCTGGAAGGAATTATTGCCTTAGCTTTAAGACAGCCTATAACTATATACACTATGTTTCCTGTATTTTCCTTTTGTGTATTTTCTTGTGTGCAATAAAGTATATTATATTCTATTCTATTCTAACCGTTCTATCATTCTCTAATGTAAACTAAATACAGATATGATATACAAAATGTAGCCAAATGAAGAAAGAGCAAAAGAGTTAATGTAGCTTTTCATAAGTTAGAAGCCCAGTTGAATTCTATTTGAAATAGTCACTTTAAATAAAAAAAAAAAGGTTGAATTAAACATTCGTTTATAATTTTTTAAACTTATTAGTATACGTGCATGAAGAAATAATTAAGAGCTTAACAAAAACGACGATAATATTTGTAGAAAAAAAAAAAACAAAAACGAAGTTTTTATAAGTTATAATAATATAAAGGATAAAATTTAATATAATAATACTCTAAATATGCAAATAAAAGTTATTTTATAGTTTTGAATAAATACGGTTTTAAATAAAAAATGGATAATGAAAGGTATTGAAAAATATTGTCATACATTTCACTTTGTATGAAAATAACGTGTTTAAAATTCAGACTCGACCAGCGAGATCCAGTACCTAAAAGCGATTACTTTATTCTTAGTGACTTTATTACCTAAAAGTTTATACTTTCGGAATGGTTCACTTGTAAAACTATATATCCAACAAAATGTTTGACAAATACCTATACCTAGGCAACAATTAGAATAATAATATTCCCTACAACTTTTTAAACTACCATATTAAAAGTTTATCAACTACCATATTAAAAGGTATTTAATGAACCTACAACTTATACTATAAACCATTTTTATCGTTTTTAAATTTATCAAAAGGGGATAAATGATAAAGTCAAAACCATAATAGTTTCTTTTGTTACAGGCAGCAAGCAACACCTTAGCGTTTTCGCGTCATATACCTAAATGTGAAAGGAGAATTGCCAAGCGACACGAATAAAGACAAAAGACAGTCTGCAGAGTGAGTCGCAAACGAAAATCCCTCTGAAGCGGCTACTCCGCGGCCGCTTATCAGATAATGTGATTACGCACTGAGTGCTACGGGACACCTCGCACTCTGCGTAATTGAGTGTGCCCTCCATGGCCGCTATTAGGCAAATCGAATGCCGCCCCCCTCACCCCTCGCCCCGCCACCCGGATGAATACACGGGCCGTTGGCTCGGCACCAAGGATTCAATTTACCCGAATGTAAATAAAACGCCTCTCGTCTCCCGCCGAATTTAACAACTCAATTACGCATCGTGTTCAACAATCGCCAAAGTCGGATTGGCCTGGAAAAATCGTAGCGCTTAGCAAATTTGCGCTAGTCAATTTTCGAATTATGATCTGCTTGCAATATATGATATGCTTGTCGTTTAGTTGAATTTTGTTTTTATTTTCTGATCGTGTAGCTTTTTTAACGGTTTCTTGTATTTATTAACACATTGTTAAATTGAACTATTTTACGTGTTCACATCGTGTTCAACAGTTTTTCTTAGCAACAGAAATATTTATTTTTGTGACCAGTTTTGTTCACATTAAAGGATCCATTCCTATATATCTTATTTCGAATAAGAAAAATTAGTGTGTGAAGCAAATGCTCTTATGTTTAAAAAGATTCAAATGTCAAATCAATCGCCTTTCGTCATCATACAACTGTAGTCTCTAGAAATATTTCGCGCATAGAAATCGCTTAGATTTCCGGGACCGAGCATTCCTGCGAGATGTTTGCGCAGTCCACAATAAAAGAATGCGCCGCGAACACGCTTGCTCCCCTTTTTTCCTTATCCCCATCCCTCTCCGGCGGATCGACACGTCCATGCCGTAACGCAGTTTGATGTTCTACTCTCCAATGCTGGCAGAGGCGATATAAAGCAAGATGTACGACTGCGCCCTGGCGACGCCTATATTTCCTAAACATCTCTCGCTGTTATAATGCCGTGCGATGTGGCCTTGGCGAGACGTTTGGTGCACAAAATTCCTTCGCGCCGTTTGCTAAACGTTTTTCAAAATTCGAAAACTTTCAAAACGACCAACACGGTGAGTATTTTTACGAGATATTTTATATATTGGTACTTAATAACTATATAAATGAAATTCATGTCCAATGTCTTATTAATAAAAGTACCTTGAGGAAATTCTATTTTTAAGCGTGACAAGTAATTTTCGGCGTGTGATTTCCAGCGACATCGGTCATTCGGCATGCGTGCGTCGCCCATAATGCGGTACGGATTATTCGCGGCACGCCTCCACAAGGTCACACCGCACGAGGGTATGCAACACGGCGTCGGTACGCTACGGAGCGGATACCGATTCTATCAACAACCCATAAACCGCATGCTCTCCTTGTCTCCCACCTTGGTGCGAGCGCGGCGGCGAGCGAGACAGAAATCGACGAGTTTAATGGGCCGTTACGCGGGAAAAAATCAGTACGCATTCGCGACTGTAGATACGCGAGTGATAGGAGGCGGAAGGATATCCGCGGCCTGGTGCAAGTGCAGTGGTGGGCACGTGGTGATCGGGACGCGATGGGTGATGCGGTGATGAAGCCACATGTGAGTACATCTGACGTAACAGACGCTGACTTGCCCACGTCATGTCCGCATGCATGACAATGAGAGACTGCGCTCTGCACAGCCCCCGATCTTAGAAAACGGCCCCGTAACCGGTTACTGGCCGCGTGCTATGCACTTATTACTATTTTTACAGTAAGCCATTACGTCACTGTTTATTTTCGCGCAGTAATTAATTATCGGTCATTTGAGATTTGCCTCGGTGAGCGGTCGAACGCCCGTTTAATTATTAAAGCGATAACGGTTACTGAATGAAACGATGTTGTCAAGTCAAAAATAAAATGGATTACGTAAATGACTGGTTAGTTTAGTTACCGATTGGCTGCATATATAAGCAGTTTTCGTTATATTTTTCGGTGGTATTTTAAGGTTAAATATTTTTCTAATAAGATTTGAAACGTTACTTTCATTTGAAGTCGGTGTTAAAGTTGTGAGTAGTACAAGTAGGTATAGTTCATTCATCACCATTTGGCTTATTTGCTCATGGTCATTTTAATATAAGTATTTTATTTCAGTAAGTATAATATGTATATATTTATTTTTTCGTGTATTATATTTCAGTATTGTACATATTATGATTAATTTAAATATATATATACCGTGAACAACGAAAAGAGTATAAACAACACATACTTATTTACTTAAACATTTTAAGGAAATCAGAGTATTATTTCAACAGTGACATATTTGGACAGTTGTTGATAATTATGGTTTTTATTTTGTAAAAAAAATGCACCGGCCTAACAATAAATACTGTAGCCATCGATATGATATTACTTTAATTATACTTTATCAACTGATTTTCGATTCTTTTTGATACTTATCGTAACTTCAAAACATTTAGCAATTCTTTCTGTAATAAAGATTTTATGGCCTGGTAAACTTTAAGACTAAGTTTAGCGGCAATTCTTTTTTTAAGGTCTAACGAATTAGCAATTGCTAACCATTTTTAAACGTAATGGGGAAAAATGTTCACAGATCGAGTAAAAAATCACTTAAATCGCTACTCGGGGGGTAAACTTTCACCGTATTAACATAACAAACGTCGCTTGACGGAAACATAGCGATAGAGCGATTTGTGAGGCTTATTGTTTGTTACAACGCGCTGCCGGCAATTTGCATGACACAAGGCGAAGCAAAAACGCCACGAAACCTCCCGTCGACTTTCCTTGCACGTCTGTATGAATGGCACTCATACACACAATGCACGTATGTCGGACTGTAGAAGCGATTTAGAAATATTAACAGTGGTTTTTTATATATGAAGCAAATCGTCTTCTGAACGCACATAACGTATGTGCATGTATGTAATATGTGTAATATATGTTTCATTAAATGGAATTTTCGTAAGTTATCTAAAATTTCATATATCCTAATAGCTGCTGTAAATTTCCCATTCAATGACATGAATGCTTTAATGTGTCATTGTGGAAAAACGAGTATACGTTGTGTAATTTTTTAATATTTTCATCAAAGTTAAGGGAATCATTTCGTTTTATTTTACGGCGTACAAGCCAAAGGATTAAAAGCCTTCGGAATAATTTGGATTATTCACCTTAACACTTAATTTCTTGAACCGTTCTCTGTTAAATTTCCAACTTAACCAAATAATAGAATTATTGCAACAATTTGATAATTGTAGTAATAAGACTACTACTTAATTTATCTGTCTAAGTTACTTAAGTGATCTCATTTTTGTTGAGATTCATTTAGAGTTCTTTAGCCCGTACTTACAGGTTAGGTACTTTTTTTTTCTTTATTAGGTCTACAAAACTGAATACAACCTTTACATAAGTTTATATAAGCTTCCAATTATTCCAAACACAAAAGTGGATTCTTCTAGATATAGACACAACATGCATTTAAATCGAACAGAAAAGGGACGATAGGTAATACAACTTATTTTATAACTAATATAAACAGAGATTAAATTTAAATGGGAAAAACTAAACAAAAACTAAATAGAAAACCAAATAAAACAAAATAGCTTAAACTATAACTAGGGTTAAAAAAAATACATTTATGCCAATACTTTAACTTACAATGATAAAAAGAATTGAGGCCAGAGAATCTGCAAAAATATCCACGCTAAATCGAATTGCATTACTTGATGTGTACATGCGATAAATTGGGAGATGCTGTCCGTGAACGGTTTTACACAAAGGTAACCTAAATGTATTTCGATTTTTAAGACGATTGCTAGAACGAGGTATGGAGAACTCAAGTTTTTCTAAAATATCTGATGAATCTATATAAGAGTGTAGCAATTTGTACAGGAACATTATGTCATTAATCTTTCTGCGAATTTTCAGAGATGTCATCCCATAATGTCTAAGTCGCTCCTGATAAGAAGTTAGGTGACGGCATTTAATTTCTCTGTATGTGATATAATAAAGAAAGCGCTTTTGAACACGCTCTATTCTATCGGAGTGAACCGCATAACCAGGATTCCAGACAACGCAACAATATTCTAAAATACTTAAAAATTTGTAAAAAAATATTATTGAAAAAACCTGATTAAATAACCATTTTGAGGTAGGAATTCTAGACGTGTGGTACGTCTAGAATTCCTACCTTATTATTTTTTTCAGATGCTGTATTAAGTTGTTACATTTAAAATCTAAAATTATTAAATCTTAAAGAAAAGTACCGTCATATAAATAGTAAATAATAATAGAAGCTCGATACTTAATAATAAATAGTATAATAGACTTCTATTAGGTCTGATCAAAAACTAAATCACAATCACAATATTGCTAGACGTGTTGTTAATTTTATATTCATGATACTAGCTATAAGTAATGTATAAGTTTTAATAGTAAATTTTGAGTTTTAAAACACCTAGTAGGTATGTAGATGTATGGCAATTAAATGTTGTATACCTACATTTCAATAAGTAAAGTTATTAATAAAGTTTACCCACTGTCTTGTAGTAGCCGTTTATAGTGTCCATTTTTTTTTCTGGAAAAAAATGTACTTTAAATGAAGCAATAAGGCCGCACGGTTTTCTTGGCGTTTGTCATAAAGATTTGTTGTTATTTATTAATTTATCAATCAGATAAAGTTCTAGTTCAAGGAACATATGAGCTCTTGATTATAAGAGTAGGTAAGCGTTATTAGAAACAAAAAAATAACATACAATTTTACGTTGTATGTGATGATTTGAAGATTTTAGTTGATATGAGTATATAAATAGCAACAATACCCGACATTTTTTTTACTTAGCCTTCCGTGCGCAGGGTACATTTAATAACATAGATAAATATCGATTTATTCTATTACTGATGTCCATTTTGTTATTTTCAATTTGGAACTTTGTTTTAAACAACGATTAGGCATAACGCATTATTATATCAAATCCTCCATTAATGTTTACTTCAGAATGAAAATCAATAGTGGCTTGTAAAAAGTTTTATACTTATATATATATATATATATATATATATATATATATATATATATATATATATATATAAGTATAAAACTTTTTACATACATATAAGTACAGAAGTATTGGCCGCTTTAGACCTAAAGATAAAAAAAGATGAGTTTGCAAGCAGGTGATAAGAAAACAAAATCGTCCAATCACAACTACAATGCAAGGGTCGAAGCACCTAGTTCTTCTTGTCAGTTATTACAACTGATTCCATAATATTACTTATATCGGTTACTCCGATAGAACTCCATACAATTCAAGGATTCCTCTTGCTTACGGTCTATGGTAGGCAGGATGAAATAGGAATTTGGAAAGTTGCTCCGTTGTTTTTGTTGGCGCAGAGGGGCTGGACATTTTGATGCAAATGAGCCTTGCTCTGTGTGAACCCGGCTCCTTAAGCTCTGTGAATCCACATGAAACGTGTCTGTTGTCCGAACGTAACACCCTAGCTGTTTTGTCTATATTAGCTCAGTATAAGCAATTATCGTATTTATTTGTGGCAACGAAGTGTTAAATCTTTGGATCTTTATGCTTATTATAATTATGGTCGTTTATTAATCGTTCAAAGTGCTAGCTTAGAGGCTAAGAGTAACCTATAAATTATTCGTACATAAAAGCGAAGAAACCTTAAAATTGTGCGTTGGAATTATTGGTACAGGAGCAAAAAAATAAGGTAGGTTATTTGTACTAAGTCTAAATGTTGTTATCCTTTTTGTTATGACAATATTAAACAAAACTTAGATAATATTGTACGACTATGTATATATAATGTTATCTGTAGCTGTCATAAGTACTGTCATATCGTTGCATTATTTCTCTCATTTTGTATGTTCCGGTTCATCCTAAAACGTATGCTGAATTTATAGGAGCTTTGTGGAAAATTCATGCAACTCCCGTTGTCCCGGATTTTTGTGCTATTATCAGAAAAACTTGCACATAAATAATTGTAAATGTTAATTTTTCGGTATGGGTACATATACTTCTCACCTATATCAATTAATTAATTTTAAGATCAGCATTTGGCTAAAATTTGTATCACTGACAAAGGATTCATACGGGCCGAATAACTGCTACGTTATTATTAAAATTTATTTGAAGTGCACTTTCCATTCCATTCTTTTAGAAATAAAAACGAACTTTCAGTATTTTTAAGATACATCATTCGATTTAATCCCAATAAAAATCCATAAACTATTTCCAAGTCTCGAAAACGTTAGTATTTTACTCGACAAAAAAACTGATTAACGACTGGACTTCTTACTTCTAACAGATAATTGTGAGTTAAAATCGCTTAAAATTACACGTTTATAACTGGCTTACTTTTATTAGTATTAAAGCTTGGTAGGTACATTGCGCGCAATTTAGTATTCGGAGCATCGGAATTTTTCTTCGCTCTTTCCAAGAAACTTGGAAACAAATCAAATAAGAGCCTTCAGTCAATGTGATGAAATAAACCTTGTTAATATAATTCATTCATTCATTTTGTTTTAAATAGCAACATTATTTATTATAATAAACACAGATACCAATGGAAGCGACTAGAATACATAATAACAAAGAAAATTATCCATTAATCTTTCTCCGGCTATAATAATTAACTAGTTATTTACATATAATAAAAAAAATCAAGAACTAATAATATTTATTCAGACTTTATTTCATCTTATTAATAAAAGATACACAATTTAATGTTGGCTATAAGCTAAAGGTGCATTTCATTGCAAAGTAAGTGCGAAAAACAGGGTATCGATAAAGATAAACTTCAGTCACCGACATCGGCCTTGTGAATATAATTTCAAGTTTGTGTCAACGGATTTTATAGGAACGTTTTCAATATCGCACACATAAAAACTCTATCTGTCTGTGCAACTTTGCATTAAACGGACCTTACAAAGTCGCCGTTGTCACCTAAATTAGCGTGTAATATCTGATGACGGCGTCCACATTTAGTTTCCTCGCTGTACCCAACATACTTGTGTACAGCGCTCAAATATGTTCGTGATTGTCTCGGGTTCCCCGCACTTGACTTCCAACTGTATGCTAATAGAGTACAGACTATTTTAGCGAGTAACTTTTGGCTGCTTATCGTAAACTTGAGGTTGACTGTACACGATATTTGGTCTCTCCATTGCGCGTGATGTTTTGTTTCTCGGAAAGCTTGTCCATACTTATAAGTGCTTTAATGAACTTGTGCCTATAAGATGTGGCAATAATATTTTATTAGTACAAGATGTCTTACATAGAAATATATTTAAATAGTTATCGAGGTTGCAGTTGTAATCTACTTATTTGTACCTTTATACCAGTATCAAAACCAGTTAACATGGTCCATAGCTTTTTGCTTTCAAGTGCTATAATTTTATAACCCTAGTGATTTCTGCTCTTTATTGATAGAAAATTGAGACAGACAGATTATCAGTTCCTGTTTTAGTAGGTACTATGAGACATGAGGGAATTTTCATTTCAAACTGTGGCTACTCTCACAAAGGCAGAGGTTTCTCATGTATTAAAGAAATACTAATTTTAAAATAAATTACAATCAGTGGCGCATTCGTGTGTGCAAATAGTAGTGCGCTTATTGCATGTAGTATTCAAATACACCCATATGATTAACATATACCTACTCAATACATTGAATACATATAAACAAGACAATAAAATTATAAATTTCGCTTCGTGTTTGTTAAAAGAAAGAAAAATTGGTTAATAGGAATGTAGCCGCGATAGCTCAGTGTCCGGGCGCTCCCCTTTAATTCAATATACTCGAGCAACCTGAGTTCGAACTCCGGTACCAGCACCAATGAAATTGTTAATTTTAAGTGCTGAATTATCACGTGCTCAGCGTTGAAGGAAAACATCGTGAGGGAACCTGCATATTTACGAAATAATCACAAAAGAAAAATTATTTTGAAAATATGTGAGGTCAGCCAATCCGCAGTGGGGCCGCGTGGTGGGCTACGCCCTGATGCCCTCTGTCCAGAGGAGACCTTTGCCCTGCAGTGGGACATGTACAGGCTGATACTGTACTTTACTTTTATAGGAATGTAGCATTCAGAAAGTAGTATTTACAGGCTAAATTGTTCACAGTAAATTCATCACAATAACAATCCATCAACCATATATTTATTGCTCTGTGGCGTAAGTGTATATAAAAAGTGGCTGCATACAGTTTTAATTTAAACACAGACACAAGCAAACTTCGAAACCCTTTGCTTAATTGGGGAACAATTGAAACGCCGTTGCGTTGTCTCCAAACAATTGCTTCAATTATGAATTATTGCCAAATCTAATTATTATTAAACGTATGAGGTTTGTCGACACTCAAACCATGTGTGTTAACGTTGGCAATGGAATTATTTAGGGAATGCAAGCATTGTTTCATTGTAAGCTCTTTTATAACCGGTCGTAAATTATGTACATAAAAAAAACGAGAGAATTTTTTCTCCCCCGTTTTGTGATTATGTTCCAAAATTTATTTAAATGAATGGAATAGTTTCCATAACTATAATATTTTCTGAATATTTAGGAACTCGATTCTGTTTATAAAAGATTTGAGATTGTATAAATAATACTTAAAAGTTTTTATTACAGAGTATATATCACACATCACAGAAGGAGTACCTATATACTATAGGTACTCCTTCTGTGATGTAGTCTTCACTTTACAAGATTTGTTTATGACACCGTTTTAAAATTTCTGACACTATAAATATAACAAACACTCAATCGAGGGTGAACCGTATTTTATATCAATTATTATGAAAACTGTCTATTTACAATTTTTAGCCGTATGTGTTCATTTTACACGAAAATCCCTTTCAGATTATATCTCTTAACTGTTTGCTACCAACCTTAATGGTACTGTGTTTTAAAATATATTTTTACTAGCTTTTCGCCCGCGGCTTCGCTCGCGTTGAAGCCCTTGAATAAATATCTTGCTTTTTTAAATTTCCAACTAAAAATAGCCTATGTCCTTTCTCAGGCTCTAGACTATATGTGTACCAAATGTCATTTAAATCGGTTCAATAGTTTTGGCGTAAAAGCGAGACAGACAGACAGAGTTATTTTCGCATTTATAGTATTAGTATGGATTTCTTTTATAACATAAATTTGAATACTTACTACTTTCCGTCAAACTAGGTATATTAGATTTAAAATATGTAATTGAAATTTTTGTAGATCGTACCATTTAACAGGTACCTACTATAATAAATTAAAGTTTCATCAGTGTAAAATTTTCAAATTAAATCTAAAGGTGAATTATAAATCATTTTGAGTTACAAACCAACATTATGAACCCGTTAAAATTTTTGTATTCCGTCTTCCTTTGTAACGTTTTTCTATATGACCTTGTTCATCACTCACCATTTAAAGATTAGGGGGCAATTAGTTAGAATGCAAAATCTCCATCGTTTTCTATTTTTTTGAAAATTCATGGCATCCTTGGCTTTATGATTAAAATATATATCCTTAAAATATGTCTCCGTAAAATTATTTCATAAATTTTGTCATTGTATATATTATATATACCCGTTTTAACTTAGCGTCACTTTTTTTGGAAATCCCTTACGATTTTTTCATTAGCCGTGATAAGATTTTCATGAAAGCAAATTTCATATTTGAGGGTGGAAGAAGTGCATTAACAAATTTAACATAATATTTTCCACAAAATTAACGATTAAGTTATATGAGTTTGAAGCATTGAAAGCGCTCTCTTTTATTCACGATTTAAAGAATATACGATGTATAATAAATATTAAGACGGCTGAACTCACGTAAATCCGTCCGAAAGTCAGAAACTAGTCGGTACATACACCGGGTTTACGTGAGTTCAGCCGTCTTAATATTACATTAATAATGTCTCACGAAAGTTTTAATAATATACGATGTATTTTTACGTGCGAAGTTTTCAAACGAGCTAGTGGTTCACATGATGTTAACCACCAGGTCGTTTGCCACATTCTCATATAAAACAAGGCATAACCGCCGCCTATGGATATGTGCCTAGACGCGCTACCTCGGACAACTGAACTCTATCATCATGTTGAAACAATCAAAACTTTAAATTAAAATTCATATTATATACTTCTACTAATTAAATATACCTTATTTTTACCTCTTTTTATATCGTATTATAAATTTTCATTTACTTTCGTATACGATAAAAATACAGGCACTATTATAGTAGAACCAAGAAACGTGACGCGATGCACACCCATATTATTAGGCGATTTTGACTACAACTGAATAACTAATTCAATTGACGTTAAAGTTAAAGTTAGAAAAACTATGACATATGGTGTAATTAAATAAACATGTCCATATATATTGTATTTGTTATTTATATGAATAATATATATGTAACAACAATAATTTAAAATACTACTGTAAATGAATAATGTTGAATAAAGCCCCAATGCAAACGCACCAAAAAGGTTTCCACTCAGCATGAGTTCACGGAGTTAGTAAACTTCATGAAAGCTGATTTTCAGTGGAACCGTCGAATAATACGAAATATACAATAACATACGCCTCTTATTACGCTTGGAGCTTCTTTGTAGTCTCTAATTAGTAAAGACAGGATACATTACTTCTTTTTCAAGTATTTGACTGAGGATCTGACGAGGTAAGAAACGGGCGAAAGCTAGTGATAATCGATGTCCGGCTAGGCGACGCCACGATTCATAGCTCTATGCAAATCCATGTATCCCGCCAATTGCAGCGCGCATGAGCACACCCTCGTATCCGATCGTAAAACTGTTACGGCCGCCCCCCTCCCCCGTCGGCCCCCTGGCAACCCCCACCGTCTGCCAGAGCCTCCTTGTTTTTGGCAATACCTCCGCAGAGGGAACTAAAACGGGACTATACCTTAACACCCTTTAATGGTCGCCGTCGTATTGCCAAGCTTTCCTCAGACATTCGGCGAAGGGTTGGTAATTTAATTAGCCTGCGTTGCGGACGATTTAATTATAAATACTTCTGCAATTTTCAACCGACTTTGAAAAGGGTGTGATAGCCGATACGGTTATATGTTTGATACCTCAGAATTAGGTCATTTCTGAATCGATTTTGAAAATTATTTTTGCATTGAATTTGATTAATTGTACCTTACGAACCTATATACATAATTTTTGATGTAAAATTTGATGATTCATAAGAGCGTGCAAGCGTCTATTTGAATAAATATATTTTTGATTTTGATTAGATTTTTTTGATTAACCTCCTTTGTGATATTTTTTATTATTACTTATTGGATCTTGTACTGCGAAGATACATAAAAGAAAACGTCAAAATTCGATTAGAAAACGTGCAATGAGCGAGATATTTGCAATCGTTTTTTTTGTTTGTTATTAAAACTGTTTTACTTGTTTTGAATACGAAAGGTGTTGGTTTACTACATAGATGACGTAGTCGTGATCGGAGAACGCGTTATTTTTTTTGTAAATAGGACACGTGTGCACTTATTCAAAGACGCCGCAGAACCTGTTTTATGTGGGTTGTTGAGTTCGTGAAAGCAAAAGTATATCAATCAATCGCGGAGTACCCTCGTCTGCGTGAAAATATGCTCGGATAGACAGCTAAAGATGGCGGCAATCTCCGGACAACCGCACACCGCGGACCAAACTTATCGGTACGCTTAACAGAATCAATTGAAAATCTGTAAAATAGTCATGAAATTATTGTAACTATATTATTTTATACAAGCGAAACTGTCTTCGGTTCAATTTAATACCATTTTATCGACATAATTATATTAAAGTCTTAGTGCGACATAGATGACAAAGAGGTTATTACTTTTAGTTACTCCAAATAATATATCTTTATGTATCTTTTAAACGAGTCACCTAAAGTTCAAAAGCAATACATCGATTCGAAATTTCCGAATAACCCATATGGATGCAATCATATTAAAAACGATTTCTAGGACTGACGCGAATACTGCAGATATAAACAAAACAATTTTTGAGTAATTTTATCTAACTAAAATCCGTTAACTTTTATTTACTATTTCCGTGTACCATTTTCGTTGTATCGCAATGCAGTAAGCGTGAGACGCGCAAGATGCATGCAGACGAAGATGGCTGGCCGATCACACGCTACTTCGTGACATTTGAAGGGCATCGGTTCTAACACTAACCGCTTTATTCTCTAAAACAGCAACGTTAGTTATGTGTTACCATACTGGCTTCTGCCGCGTCTCTCCGCACGGGGCATTCTTATCGGCGGAAATTAACAATTTTGTCACGCAGGGAAAAAGTATATGTGGTTAACAACGTGGGACTGTTATCGCTTGAAATTACATTAAAAATTTTGGCCGACGTGATGAAGAATGTATAAAATCTACATATAAGTACGTAATAATATAAGCATGAATAAAACGAATATTTCGATAATAAAGACAAAAATATTATAATGTTATTTATCCAATATTAAAATGGTAGAGATATTTAAACAGTATATCAAAGTATGATAACATGATTTAAACGAACTATTCAATGTCAGTCGTTGAGTTCAGTCATGTTAATTTACAATAAGGGTGTTGATTTACAGATGTGTAGATGGGTGGTCCGCCATATTGTCAGCTGATCGCTCTTTATTCTGGAATATCTCGATACGCGCACGTATTTAGGTAAACTTAAATGATTCTCTGATAAATAATGGAAAACAAATTTTAATATTTATACTAAATTTGATTGTCTGTTTGAATATCTATGGCTGGTAATAATATAATTTAGCTCATATTTAAGATTGACATATTATTTTGTTAACTATGTTATAGTTTACTGTGCGGTACCTACTTATTCTTACAGTATCTTACCTATTTTGCCTAATTACTATTTTAATAAATATTTAAATTCATATATGAAACGTTATTACACCATACGAAATTAAATAATACTTATATATAATATGTATTTCTATAAATGTTGAGATATTTATATCCGAGGGTGTTCATCGTAAATAGCTTTTATTCGTTAACGCCCCGCGCCTTATTCCTAGCGTCAAACACCGTATTGTTGATCATTAGTCACTAATCCATCTCATATTCAATCAATACCCAAAACTTTACCCACACACCTCCTGCCCCTTCGTCCCTCGTCGCGCGACATTTAATGACACCCGTGCATTGGGCCCCTCGCGCCGTTATGGCCCTTAAACCGACGGCGCAAGGGCCAATGTCCCCCGAACACGCCCACCGCGTTATATAGCACCGAGGATCTATAAAAGTTACGTCTGTAATCTAACATAAAACTCGGGCCGTTTAGATGCGAACGCGGCCACGGACGACACATCTCGGGCTCGCTCCGCACTTTTACCGAAATGCGGCGGTGTATTTTTTCGTGTGTCACCTTGTGTTTTTCTGTGTGAAAACGCCCGTTTGTCGGTGTTGTGGCGCGAACGACGGCGCACGGCGCCGCGGCGCTCACGCGATCCTCCGCCGCCTCTGACGTTTCAAAACAACCGTGAGTACTGCACATTTGAATTTGGAACGCTGTGCGTCGACACGATTCGAAATTCGAAAAATCGTCGCTTTATCCGTGGCGTACGAATGTGGTGCGACAGGCGGAAATAGAGTGGTTCGTGTTAGGTGACGAATGAGAATTTTGAATTTGGAAGCCGATGTCACGGAACGCGAAACGCTGGCTATGGCCGATGGTTTGTTTTTAAAAATAAAAGTTCACGCACAAGATATGATTTATGGTTGCTGATGCAGAAAAAAAAAATAACCGAATACCATGAAAGCGTTTTCGGAACAGGTTTTTAAATTTCCGTGGGCGTTCGATGTTGGAATAATGTTTATGCGTCCGATGAAAATTTCGATTACGTGAGATAAGCGGTTGACGATCAGAGACCACCAATTGCGCTTCGAATGAAATTAATTAAAATATGTAAAGTGCTGATATGAAAGTTAACGGACGGGTTGCATTCTCCGACGAAATTGTTGAAGTTTTTTAATTGGAAGTCGTTGACTCGATGTATATGGCTTGATTACGTCAATTAGGCGGAGACGGTATGTATAAAGTTGTCAAAGAGAACCCTGTTATGACAGAGTTTCTTCAATCGATGCTGATATTCATTTTATTAAATTCGGTTGCTTATATTCTTGTAATTATCTACTATTCAATTTAGCACCCTTATAATTTATGCTGACACTAATAATTTCTTGTGTTTAGCGAAAACTGCACATTGTTAAATAAAATTAGTTAACAATGTGCAATTGTTTATATATTGTGGATTTTGTCATGCAGTAACGTTTCCTCATACACGAGTTAATATTTATACAATATTCATTTTTGATATTTCACCCAAAATAAGGTAATCCTTTTATTGAAAATCAGATTTCTATCGGATCTGAAAGTATAAAAATAATTTTCTTAAATTAATATGGTTACCAACGTTAATCCGAGAGAAAAAAATGTATTACCATATACCCATATGCAGATATTATTTAATATTAATTTATTCAGAAGATAAAATATAGTCATTACTTTTAAAGCAATCCATAGATGTCATAACTTCTGTAATACTCATGAGCGAATAAACTATTTTTGTCTCTCATGAGTAACACTCAAAACTATTAAATAAATTGGTAAACCACCTCATTATCGTTGTTAGTATCATTATTCTATAAAAAGGCATTAGAGTAGACATTTATCATCTATTGTTTCATACTTTTTTTCACATACTTGTAGAACAGATTACTAATTACGCACTCGAAATATAAATCATCCCATGTTTCCGACAGCATTGAAAGAGTTGAGGTATTCAAAATTCCCAGTTGTATTGAAAGTTTTCTTTATAGTCTTTACCTATATCTTAATTTTACGAGTACAATATCATCTTTAGGTTATTTTTGGTAGTTACACCATTATTAAAAAAAAATCAGTTTATAGCAAAAGGTGATAATGATCTCACACAATTCACGTGATTTATGTAGAGTAATGATAAAAAAATTAAGTAACCAGTAATAAAGAGACAGGTATCGCCATCTAGCAGAAACCTGTAACACTTCCAACGCGCTACGCTGACTGTAATAGCTCGCGGTCTTCTTTCTCTACTAACTCCTGCATTTCTTATATTCCTTTCCTTGTCTTACAAGGTATAGACATCGGCGTTCACCAAATCAATACTGCAACGCAAATACAACTATTGTGCTCTCGCGATAAGGTTGCATTCGTAATGCAGACACATTTTATTGCTGTCATATCAGCGACTCGAGAAGTGCATTCCGAAATGTAACCATCTCTTTCGTACATATTGCTTATCTCTGTTTGATGCATGCATTTTAGATATAGATATCTCTCTCGGCAAGAGATAAATAGTTGTCCGTCGACTGGGACAGGTTGTTTGATGCTAAAGAGGTGAACATACCACCATGATGGAATAGGCGGGGCTTGTTACTTGGACGTTTAGTACAATCATGGCGAATGATACGAGAAGAGTTCGGAATTGACAGTGTGACAGGATTTATTTAGTATGAAAACAGATTACGTGTGGGAAACAGATTATTAAGTATTTTATATATATTTTTGTTAAATAGGTACTAGAATTTTTTGATACAATTTTTTTTAATTAACATAAAAATTAATGAATCATATTTAACATTTTGATATAAATATGTTAAATACTTATATGGCTTTATTTTTATTATTTTATTAATGTTAATGATGCCCTCATAATGAATGGAGAGGCCTATGTTCAGCAGTTGCCTGGAAGATGCCGAAATGATGATGAATTCATGTTTTCATTTTATACGTATGTTTTCTTATTTTATTGTATTCTTCCATGGTTTTGTTTACAAAGTGTCTTCTGTTATTAAGTTAATGTCATTGATATTGAATATTTTAATTAAATCTGATTTTAAAGAGTAATTATACTGCAACTAAATTAAAAGATTTAGGTATTATTGAATCAATCAAGGTTTAATTAAATCAAATAATGGAGTCGAACTTAATAGTAGTAAAAATAAGGTTACTGGTTAAAAATGTGTAACTAGAAACTTAACTTAAACGGTTTAAAATAATATTCATGAAATAAAGTTTTTGGTAAATATAGGTAAGGGATTTTTGTTAAAAGTATGAATGTTCAATAAAAAAATTCAGATTTTCTTTGTGAATACTTATAAATAATATTTTATTATATTAACAAGTTCACATATTTTTAATTATATTTATTATGGGTATGTTAAACATTTTAAAGTAATAAGATTAGATACTTAAATATGGCAGAACAAAAATATTACTTACCAGATGATGAATTTTCGTAATTAGTTTGAAATTAACGATATTTTATATACCACGCGAAGAAAGGGCCAAACTTAAATTAATTATAACACTGGCATGAGTTATAATATCCTTCACCTAAGGTTAAAAGTTGAAATAGATATTGCGCATTGTTTTAGTTTAATTAGTGACTAACTTCGAGAAATCCCAAAGATGCAATACTTCGGCACTCGAATTCTAAATCTAATATTTAACGGACTAACTAAGCGAATAGTTAGATCCAGTAATTTCCATTGATTTTTTTCATTCATTTCAGCCTATTAGGGTCCACCGCCGAACATAGGCCTCTCTGTAGATTGAAACAAATCATGAACTGAGCCACCTACATCTATTGACTTTCCGAACATTTGCACAAGTCACTCCTCGTCCATTGAATACCCAATCGAAACTGTAGAGTTCTTTATCATTTCTGCCATCAGATTTTTGGACGGAATTAACTTATTGGCTCTAAAAGGAGCAGTAGCTAATGATTACACGAGAATGAGTCAATAATTAAAACAACTAAAAACCCCACTGTGGTACGAAAATTTTTCGAAAAAGTACCTAAATGGCGCTAAAAATCCGCCATTTTGATTTTTACTTCAATGCCTGCACCTAGTGACCTGCGCAATGGAGATGTATTAACGACATGTCATTGATGAAAATCTGTTCAGCCATTTATTAGTTAGAAGGGAAAATTGGAATTTACACCCGTATGTGTTTAACGTAATGTCCCATGTGTACATTGGACATTAGGTTAAATACATAACTCTCATTATTTGCCCTCGCTGTACATGCGTGAAAATAGAAAAACTGTTTTTAAAATCATATTCTGAAATCTGATCTGTTTTCTATTCTAGTTATAATTTTTCAAAATACAAAAAAAATTCGGCCTTTATTCCCCGGTTTGTGGGTGAGTGTAGGCAACTGATGCTGTAACAGCCGAATTTTGTGAAGACAGCATCGGAAGCTACAGGGTAGAATCGGCCTCAAGCCGTAATTACTAAGAATTACAGTTAGGTTTTTTATACGATATATCATGTATAACTTGACGGTTTTCTGAGCTTCACTATTTCGTTATATATTATGGTATCATCGAGTGTGTAACAGAAATAAACCGCCATGATAGGTATTTTTTTTATGTGAAAAGTTAATAAACGAGCAGACGGTTCACCTGATGTTAAGTGAATATCGCCGCCCATGGATATCTGCTACATCCGAGGGTTACAGATGCGTTGACAACCTTTTGAAAATAGGGCTCCGGCTACCTCAATCACCAGACGAAACGCGAAAGTATTTGTCATACTTCCACTTTACACCGGTCTTCTGTGAGGTCGTGGTACTTACCCGGACGGGCCTGCCCATGCGTGCAACAGCCGAGGCTGCTGCGAGGCCCTACCACCGTAAAATTCAATTATAAAAAATGTAATTATAGGGCCTCCCCCACAAACTGCCACAAAGGATGATCCTGCATCCATCGACTTCCCGCACATTAGCACAGTTAGTCTGTCCATCTAGGGGTCGTCCTACAGTACGATGGCCAATAAAGGCCAATCAAGACCCTTTTTTGTTCCCATTGGTTCCCCGATCGTGCTTCGTGGTGGTCTGTTATGGCATATGTTGCAGTGGGCTCCCACTGGCTTTTTTATGTGAGAAGGTGGCAAACGAGCTGGCGGTTCACCTGATGTTAAGTGATAACCGGCGCACATGGACATTTGCAACACCCGTAGGGTTGCAGATGCGTTGCCACCTATTAATAATGTGGGCCCCGGCTACGTCACTCACCAGACGAAACGCAGAAGTGCAACACTTCTACTTTACGCCGGTCTTCTGTGAGGTCGTGGTACTTACCCGGACGGTCCTGCCCATTCGTGCAACGGCAAACACTATTGCGTGGCCCTACCACAGTTAATGACGATAATGATATTTAGAGCATTTTATCATTAAATTTATCTTTATATCACCATAAAATATCCACTATAAATTGCAATAACTGTTTTTGGTTGATCTTAATCAGTTGATCAAATCGTGGTAGGGCCACAATAGCTCCTTCTTTTAATTTGGTATCGGTTGCAAAAGAATAGATTGTGCACCCGATGTAATATTGTTACCGCCCTCCTAAAATGTATACAACACCTGCGTAGCCATGCCGCATATGCGTAGCCAGCCTTTAGAGAGTGGGGCCCTAAAATGTATACAACACCTGTTGGGCCGCATAAGCGTAGCCAGCCTTTAGGGAGTGGGCCCACTTACCTTACTTACGACGTCACGCCGGTCTTCTGCAGACCACGGTACTTCTCCCTGTCCATTCATGAACAGTAGAAGCTACGTGGCCTTACCACTTTTCTGTTCCCCTCATTTCCTCCTACAACAAAAACTAAGTCAACTCTATCACATTAACAGTAGGAAAGCTTAGTTTAAAGTCAACGAAACAGTATATCTGATTTTTTATAGAATTTTAGATGGAACCACAATATAATATGCTATGGCTTAAACATATATTCTTCAATGTTGCGAAGAAATCATAAATATACCTTTACTTATATACTGTAGTCAGAGGACCTAAAGAACGGAATATATGGGAGACATACAAGAATATTTGTATGTATATATATAAAGATATATTTATATATTTAAATATGAAAATATATGAATTTTTATATGTAGTTTCTGTTGTAGTATTTTTATAGGAAGTATTTTTGAGTACTTTGTTTAGTTTTGTTTAACTTTAATTTTAGTTAATTTTACTATTGCACCTGCTTAAAGATCTCACCACACCATAGGTTGACTGGCAGAGAATGGCGAAAGGCATTAAGTCCGCCTATTGTATTTCTAATTCAATGCAATAAAGACTAAATAAATAAACTACGCTATCTGTGTTTCTAAGGAAACTCCAATCCCAATCAGTAAAACGTCGTCATGTTCTCAGTGAGAGAGTCGTCATATTCTCACTGAATTGCATACTGCATAAGTCACATAACTCTCGCCCAGCCTACAAAATGTTAACCAAAAACTGTGGTAGGGTCACGCAACAGTTTTGGCTGTTGCACGAATGGGCAGCCCCGTCCGGACGAGTACCACGACCTCACAGAAGACCGGCGTGAAGTGGAAGTGGTACACTTCTGTGTTTCGTCCGGTGATTGAGGTAGCCGGGACCCACTTTATAAAAGGTAAACCTGCAACCCTACGGGTGTTGCACATTTCCATGGGTGGCGGTTATCACTTAACGTCAGGGGGACCGCCAGCTCATTTGACACCTTCTCCAACATAAAAAAAATCTAAATATTTTTTATACTAAATACAAATGTGCGCATTCGTTTCTTTCAAATGTTTGTTATATTTAACTCTAATAGGTCCTAACAGATGAAATGTGTAGATACTTTTCTATTAGGAACAAGAAACACGCAAATCCTATTTAAAGTTTCGGGCTAATAGTCCATTACCAGCTTTTAATACTCTCACTACAGTAGTATAGTTAAAATAAAAAAAGGCTAATATCATCTTTGAAAATTTCAACTGTCTAACTATCACGGTTCTTGAGATACAACCTGATGACAGACAGACAGACAGTGGACTCTTTCTAATAGGGCCCCGTTTTACCCTTTGGGTACGGAACCCTAAAAATTTAAAGTCTATTTTGTTTTGTATATTTAGAAGAATCTACAATTGTTTTATATTACCTATGCATATTAATGCTGTTATCTCAGCAACGAAGAATATTTTTTCTTCAGGATCCCAATTGACTTTTATTTCACAATTGTTTACTAATCTTATTCTAGTTCAAACGTTGCCAAAAGTGTCAACATTTTTATAGGTACATAATAATTAAGTAAAGCAACGTGCCTATACATATATACCCTACATCTGGGCAAAAGTCTTCTCTGTACAGAGAGATATTTTGACGCATAAATTGATTAAGTATAATTAACTATTAATAGGACGCAAACGTATCGGCCAGATTAGCAATATACTGAAACAGTAACGTATTTGATGATATCATTATCATTATCATCATCATTTCAGCATGTTTGAGTCCACTGGTGAACATAAGCCTACCCCACAGTACGAAGAACGATCCTGAGCCACCTGTATCCATCGACTTCCCGCACATTTGCACAGGTCTTCACTCCATCTATGTAATATAAAAATGATAATACTAATTAATTGTACATTCAAGAATATATGATGATCATGTTTGTGAAATTAACTTATAATAAACAAGTATCAATTTTGTTTATCGTAACACCTTATCTTTACTGAAACTATGGAAGCCTGAACATGAAGATCGAATTAGCTTTCAAAGTCGAAATTATAATATTCAAAATAGATCACGTATTCACTTCATATTTACTTATTTGCAAAAGTTCTTGTTTAAAAGATCTAATTATGCATTTACTTATGTCCATATATAACGATTATCTTATATACATATTTAAATAATTGAATATCCTTCGTACATAACAATAATAATATCTTATTTGACATAAGGGGTGTGTGGCCAAATAAATATTTTAAGTAATTGTATGAAATGACCTTGAAGCACAATATGTAAAAAGATAAGTTTAATAATATTTGAGCATTGCCATAAGCATTCATCTCACTTTAACAGCTGGCCAAAATCTTTAGTTATGGCTTTTCTTACTTGTGACATTTCAAAAAATAAAAAATAAAAGGTGCACGAGATCAAAAAGTAAGCTATACCTTACCCCCAAAAGCTCTTGTAATGGTATATTTTTATTTATACTTAATTACAAGAGACATAATGTGTAATTACTCTTAATATAAAAATTAATTACTCATTTCTCATAAGCCATACCGACGTGAGATTTCTACTTATTAGAATTGTAGACATTTCGTGAATAATACATTTCTGTTAGAACCTACACAAATTCAAAATTTACGTTTTTAAATAACAGCATATTTGACCAAATAAAACCAATTCGAATAAATGTAGTGAATGTTTTTGGGATAAGAGCGTCTTATTGATGACAACAAAATCTTAAGGACAACGAAAAGACTTATATTACGGTTTACTTTTAATATATATCTGAAACGAAATTCATATTCTAAGAAAGACTTATTGATTAAACTTATTATTGAAATTCAAAGGTTGATGAAAAATATGTATTCTAATAAAAATATACGGAAAATCATTAACATAATATGCCAATCAAGACAACAGGATAACATAAAAAATTTAAAATATTTTTTATTTCTTTTTAAAAAATAACCGTGTCGGTAACTTTAAAATTGACTTTTAGCTGTCATAGAATTCATATTTCAGTACCAATTGTTTTCATGATCGTTTTCCTAACCGCTCTTTTAGTTCTGTTCAGAAAAAAAAAATGGTAAATGGCAAAGTTTCGGGTTGTAAGAATTCTAGACAATATTAGTCAAATCAGTGTTTGCAAAAACGAACTTTATCCGCACACAAATAAATAACATTATGGTGTTAAAGGCAAGCTGTATTAAGCCCTTACTTCCAATACGAACTCACAGCTAGTTCCAAAATTTTCCGCAACGTCTCATGTGGCGCTGTCATTAAAATTCACAGTTGCTATTAATACAATTGTGTGTTTTGTAGTGTGATATAATTTTGCTTGTTTATAATATTTTTTTTAATTAAATCTTCAATGTTTACATCAGTCACATTACTAAAAATTAGGTTTAACCCTTGCTTAGCAGCTAAAAAGCAGCGCCATCTTGTATCGAATGGCACTACTAACAAGGACTACACGCACACATTGAAAGTTCTCTCCCCTCGACCGATTACTATATTTTGTTACATGTTTATATACATATGTGTATATTGGGATTTTCTATCTACCATGTTATTTTGTGATGGAACAGAAATGCAAACTTGCAAAGTTAGTTATAATAATTTTTCTTTTGTAAACCCCTAACCTAAAACGTCATTACAATATTTTGATGTACGTTGTAGGTGTGTTCCATAAATTTAAGGAGACATGGTTATTTTGTTATGTTATAGGTAATCGAAAAACCATTGGATTAGTCTCCATTAGGAATTCCCGCCATAAGTATCTACTTCTGTAGATATTGTATAACTAAAAAGAAGAGATATATATGTAACTGAATTACAGAACAAGAACTTTGATCAAGCAGCATGAAAAGAAAAATTGTAACATTTCCGTTGAAAAGTAATTTCAATTAAATTTTGTTAAGCTTATTTTTTTATAAACATGCTGTTACTTATATGAAGAATAACAATCATCAGATAATACTTTCTAACAATTAAATGCGCGTTTATTATCTAAGGCGTTTTCTTGCCGCCGTCGGTAAGTGACAGCTACTGTAAGATAATATTCACCAAAAACCGCTTAAAAATAAGAAAAGAAAAGGTTTTTAGTAATTTTACATTTGAACAATTCTATTAAATGAAGAAAAAACAACAAGACATGTGATTTTATTATAAGAAATGAACATAATGTCAATCGACAATATCATAGATATAGAATAAAACTTTTAAAATCCTAGAGAATAAGACCACACAATGCTTTTGTATAAAAATATATTATTATATTCAATGGGCATGTAATTATGTCAAAACGTATGTAAGAAAGTTATAATTTAAGTACAACAGATATTTTTTTATTAGCTGCCTCGTAATTTAGCCTAGTCTGAAAGATTTTAAAACATAGGAATGATAATATTGCTAATATTCTAAATATATTTTTTCATAATTCTTGTTATCTAAATGAAAGTTATGAACTGTTTCTTACACACATGCAATTTTATTATTTTCCAATATGTGCATGACATTAGTAGACAGGAGCGTTGAAATTATTTGCATTTTTCTTATTCTGTAGTACCTATTCTTTGTATTTTTATTATTCTTTAGTACCTATTCTTTGTATTTGAGATAACTTAAATCAGAGCCGTTTCTCAACTTAAACATATAATTTAAAATAATCAAATATCGTTGCGAGTACCGTTAAACTTCTACGCCGAGGAAACATGTAACAAGGATATTCCCGGTAACTTTTTTGACCACCCGACAAGAGGCCCGTTAGTATTTTACTAAGTGACTTTTTGCCCCGTCGGCGACCGCCGCGTTGTTTTGCGGCTGCGGTCGGAAAAAAGATAACTGGAGCAAAAAGCCCACGAAAAAACTTAAAGGGTTAACGCACAATGCAACTGAGCGGGCCGTTTATAGCGTACTATAATTAACAATAGTCGTGTCACATTGCGCCTACATTGCACGTAGGAAACGGTCAGTTTTGACGCGAAACCGTTTAGTTACGATTTTTGACTTAAAGTGTGTGGTCATCGACTTGTGACAGTGATACGA